GCTGGTAGTAGTGGCTCGTAATTTACCTAAACCAGTAACTCTTGGGCCAATGACCACTAGTAGTTAGTTGCTTCCTATTAACACAAACGAGGAAACGCGGACAAGTCTAATCGAGCAACTTGAATTCCTTTAAATTACTCAAACACATCCTAAAAATTAAAATTACAGTTTCCAAGTGTGTTTGATCAAGTTCCTGGTTCCCAACCAAGTGAGTCTCGACTTCCTTAAGAATTATTTAAGTTGATTTTTGCCGTTATTTTTTAATATTTTACCAACCACTTTTAACATTTATTTATTTATTTATTTCAATTAATATTATATTTCTTTGTCCTATTTATTGATATAATATTGACTTTTTTTATAAGAAAAGGAATACAGAATGATTCTCTCGTTAAAGAAATTCAATCTATTTTAACTTATTGATTATGATGTCTTTAAATGTTTTTTTTTATTAATCTCATTATCTTATTTTATGTAAGAATCACAAATTATAAAGAAAAGTCGTGATTCAAAGAAGATTGAGAAACACTGATCTAAGTAAACCATATATCTAAGTAATATATTAAAGAACCATGAAAAAGATCGAGCGTGGAACCTTAAAGTGAATATAATCTAAGAGGGATGCTTCTTGGCGACGGCAGTTACACACGGTCCCATGACCCTTTAATAGAAATTTATGTCAACATTTTGCCTTCTCTTAATCGTCGTTAAGTTTAATCAATTGGCGGCGAATCGTTATGTCATGTCGAGTTGAATTCGAGCACACGCTCGATTAACCGACGAACTGTCTCTTGGAAATAGGAGCTCTCCTCTTTTCTTTGGACTTTCAATACGATACCACGAACACGATAATTTCTACGTTTCGATTCGCTCGCGTGATCGTAAATATGATCGAGATTGCATGTTGTGCGAGTTACGTTGAATTATTTACTATGAAATATTTGGTGGAACTGAAGGATAAACTGAAACAGAATAAATTTTTATAGCTTTAGAAACGTTTCTTAAGAAATTCGCAAATGAATTAGTTTTTGATTTAGAAATTTCAAGATTGTTATCAATTTGAGTTGAATTTTTATGATTATTTCAATTTCTGAAAAAGAATTTATTGCAGATGTTGTTTTTTTCTCTTAATTGTGAATATTTTTTAAAAGATGAAATTTCAACATTATTTTATTAATTCAATTTTTTTTTTTTTCATTAATTTTATGGAATTCATTTTGTTCATCTTAAATATTTTCAATATTCTAAATATTAAAAAATTCTAAAAAAATTTGTTAACATCTATTTCGCATTTCTCTTGTAAAAATTAAAATAATAATATTCCAAAATAAAGTTTTTTCTTATGTTTAAATAAGCATGCATGATATATGCAATATCCACACGTTATTAAGATTAATTGCTTGCAAGTTATAAACTGTTTATAGTATCCTATGAGTAATACCATAAACGAAGAAGAAGCTTCTTGTTCTTCCATGAATAAACTTCCTGGTCTCCCCAGAAGTCAATACTCACTCTTCGACTTCCGATAATCTATTTCTCTTCGTTTCACTTTGATTTATGCTTCATTCATCGCGTCCATTGAGCTGGTTAATGCGCAGAGAAGTCATTTTGATATTATCTTAGAACCGACTTCAGTTTAGCCTGATTTAATTGGTAGCGCACGTACTCCTTCAAGGCAAATGAGCACACACGATCCTGCGATTACAGCTTACACCGATGAACTAGTTGCGAACAACAGAAGTTTATAAGATGCGATCAATGTAATGAAAAAGAAGGGAACTTTCTCGTTCTTCTACGAATATTGCATTATGATTTATGAAAAACGATGCACTTTCGAACTTTTGTATCTTGTTTTCACTTAACTCGGAATTTTAACTTGAAAGTATAATGGATTCGACACGATATCGTTTGTAATTAACATATTCACTGCCTTAATCATGTGCGATTAACATGCTTTCCACTCTTTATAAAAATTATCTGAAAATTGAAATATAGTAATTGTATATCTATCTACATATACTGTTAATTACATATACGCATATATAATGTATAGGAGATAGAAATTATTTTGAATAAAAATAATAAAATCCATTTTATCTTACAATTTAATTAATCTAAAATAATCTAAATCAAATAAATATCTAGTAAAATAGGCAAATATTCTCTATATTTGATATTTCTTCAATAATTGAAATATAACCTCAAATCAAACTTTGCAAGTTTGTAAAAGTCTTGATAATTATTGTACTCACGAAAGCAATTAATATTTCGACATTCGAATAATATTTATTACATTAGGAATAATATTTATTTTTATAATGGAATTTTATAGAATAAATGTGAATTAATGTGAATTAATATTACATAAAATAGAGAAGATTATTAATCTTTGTTTATTACGAAAACGCAATACGAAATTAATCATTTATATTATATGAATCGCCATGTATTTTTAATATATACAATAATTTGTATATATTATATTCTTAAAACTTTCGTAAATTTCAAATTTTCGATAAAATTATAAATGGCGATCTTTATATACGAATAAAAACTATTTTTTTGAAGAACTTTCATGAGAGATTTTCAGTATTTGCTTATTTCAATATATTATGATATTACGTTATTTTATTATCGATTAAAATACTATTTTTCAATTAAAGTTACAAATTATTTTAAGTTTTTAAGTACGAGCATTAAAATAAACGAATAAGTAACTCGATTAATAAGTTAGAACAAAATCGAAACACTCTAAACATGACTATCATTCCATTTAACCTCCATTTCTCGTCAATATCTCCATAACACGATTGAACGATCCATCATATCGTTCGAGCTCGCAAATCAATCAATCAAGATTATAAAATCACTCTGAACCCACATATGTTCTTTTTTTTTCACATATGTATGAAGCAACACCTTGACTACGTTCTCGTATTCGCCAGAGCGTGCAAAGAAACGAATTCGATTCCCAGACTCGATCGATCGCGAGCCATTTTCAAACTCCTAACACAGGCGAGAAGCAATTGGAGAGTACGAACTTACTAGTCAATTTTGCTTAAGGCGAACGCGAAATTCAGGACTCGCGAGGACAACGTTCGTAGAGAATTAATGGAAACGCACCCGTAGGTCGCGCAACTGCCCTATCCCCACCACTCGCTATTGTAATGGTGCGAAGAACAAGAACGAGACAAAGACAGCTGATTATCATTCAAACGGCACAAGCGAACGGTGACTGCCCTTGGCCATACGGAAAGGCGACGCTTTGCAAACGAACGTTTTAATGCCTGAAAAAGGAGACATAATTGTCGGCTCGCTTCTCGCGGTGTCGTTAAACTCGTTGAACGTTGAACGTTGTTAAGGGTCAATAATCCAACGTTCGCTGCTGTCTAACTTTGCGTGCTTGTTCATTCTTGAATAGGTTATGTTACTTTTTCGTGGTTTTTCTTTTTATTATATTGTTATCGTTTACTATTTTTACATCAGCAATGATATTTAAGCGACTTAAGTGTTTTTTTTAGAAATTTGGTGATTTTTTATTGAATATTTTATTAAATATCTGAAGAAAAGAAGGGATAAGAAGAGGGAGAAAAAAAAGAACTATTTTTTTGTTCATTATTTTTTATGTAGTATATACGAGATTTATTGATCGTTAAATATTATTTAATATGTATTTTATAGCGAAGATTGAATATGACTTCTTTCTAAAAGAGAGAAAGAGAGAGAAGATTGCATGAATATATATATATAGTTACTATTATCTTTTCAAGATAATGAGAAAATAAATTTCTAACGGTATTCCATATTTTATTTTGACATTGAAACGTATATTTTTATGCAAAAGAAATTTGATGACTAATTAATAATTTTATGATTGATTTATTATGATTCACGAAATTTCATGATTTGTAAATTATTATATGTATTATATCATATATGGTATATTTTTATGTTTACAAACACATCAAAGTCAATTAAACTTAACCTCAATATTTTATTCTTATTAAATGTGAAATATGGATTTTTTTATCAAGAAAAATAACAATTCACAAAAAAATAGTGTTAAAGTTTTATTTTTTCACATCGACAGAAGATAAATTCCTTTAAAAAAGAATAATTTTTTTCTTTAAATTATTTCAATGAATGATTGCAACACATAACAAGTTTGCATGTGAATATTGTATTACGATCACGGGAACGGGGCAGTGGAACGTAATCACCGACCTGATCCTCGTTGTCGTCAACGGCCACTAGTGGAATTTATTGCAGCCACCCCGTTACCCCACTTTCCCTCGAGAAACTCGGTGATTGTAAAATACTGCGACGAAAACGCGGCTTTCTTTGTCCCAGCCTGGATAAATAAATTTGAAAGTTGCGAATGGACCGATGTGGAAAAACATGTTCTTTTCCCTTTTTCCTTTTTTTTACGACGCGACGATGGAAAAGTTTCAATTCTGATTGAAGAGTTTCAGAATATGAATTATAGTTATGATTCAGCAATCGATTTCAGCGAAAACAATTTTTATTAATCGATTAATATATTATACGATCGAACACATATATTGCAGCTAACTAAATTTACAGGAGAACAGTTTTAAAAAAAAGTTTAAAATTCTTTTCAAAAATTCGATATTTTGTAAATTATTATCATTATTTCAATTACAGCAATTATATCTCATTTAAACACAACACAGATGAATTTTTGTCATTTCAAAATAATCGAGTCAACAATATAATATGTATAAGTATTTTTATTATTATATCGCGATTATATCTATACGTTTATGGAAATATTAACATTCAAAATTGCATAAAACGCATGTATGTATGTGCAAAAATATATAAAATATTCAAAGTAAAATATTACCTTCATAAAAATATCTGCAATTTAATTATTATATCGTGTAATATATTATGTATACATATATTTTTTTGAGTATTACTATCGAGCTAAATTCTTAAGAGGTTTTATAACTTTTGTTCTTTTTTTTTTTTTCTAGAAATTACTGTCATTCTTTCATCCCAAAACGACGCGAGTGGACAAGTCTGACAACAACAACACAACCAACTCCACCACCAACAATATTCACAACAACCTGCCGATACACGAGCCTATCAACGCCACATCTCACGATGTATATCGTATGTACAATTTCGCATTTGCATGAAATTGAAGTGCTGCTATTTCACTTAACGATAGGGTGCCTGAAGGCGAATAATAAATGATTCTCGAGCCTCCGGCTCGCTCTCTCTTGTTCTTACAAATATCAAACTGATATATCTTGTATATCGCGTCGGCAAAGCCAGTCAAGTTTGCACTTTACGAGGTTATGTGATTTACATGAATCGCATCGATTATATAAATAATATTCTTTTTTATTTATTTATTTATTTATGAGAACCTTGACACAGTTTTTGATAGCGTGTGTAAATACACGATTTCTGAAGTGTTCAAGGAAAATATTTTCCCATTATTTTATACTTTTGATCGCTCCACAAATTTTAACAATTACAAAAATTACAATAATTATTACGTTAGGAATAAATTAATATTAGTTGAATTTTTTCTTTAGAAAATGAAATTTTAAATTCATAGAAATATGTCTTTTTACTAATTTTACTCTAAAAGAGAAAAATTAAAAAAAAGAAACGAAAAAAAAAAACTAACAAATAAAATTCTTTTTTTATATATTACACTTTTTTTTTTCTTTTTTTTACATTGTATTTATTTTATGGAACAGCTGGGAGATTGCCAATGACAGCTCCAGAAGCTCTCAAGTATTATGGTTCGAGGCTCACCGAATTTGAGCGCAACGAAATCGAAAAATACTCAGAGATTTGGTATCTTGGTCTGTCGGCCACAAAAATTCACGGCGAGGAGGGCTCATCCCAAAATGGTGGATACGACGACGAAAACGGTAGTTACAACAAGGTCTTCCACGATCATATCTCGTACAGGTGAGTTTTTCTCTTTACTCTTTTATTTCATAGTTTACTCATTCTTTAAAAGACTTTCCTCTTTAATAGCTTAACGCTTAATCTACGGTTTATTCTTCCCGATTTCACGATTTCCTATTATCGTTGCAATTCAATCAAATTTAGGAGCTATAAATATTTAATGAGTTTTGCATTCTATTCTTATTTATTAATTGAACAAAGAGATAAAATATTATGTATATATTTTTTGTCGAAATTTTAAACCATTCTTTATCTCCATTGAAAAATAACATTTTTCTAAATTTTTCGCAAGATTTCTCTTTTGATTAATTCTATGGAGACATATTATCATTACAGAAAACTAAAGAAAGCTTTTCGAAATTAAACTTCTTTATGTGTATTTTTTAAGAAATGTATAATATATATGTTATATTTTATAAGAAAAATGTTTATATCATTTTGCATTAAATTTTATTTTATTCACATTTTATTGCAGAATAAAATAATCTTAATCTTTTTCATGATCAAATATGATAAGCTATTTATCGAATATTTTTTTATATATCTTTGCATTTATTCCTATTTAATTTCGTCCTCCAAAATTCATATATTTCTATCATATCTCTATAACCTTTCGAGTAGTCGTATTTGAATTATTTTTGCTTATTAGCTGTTTATTGTTGTGAGTTTAAAGATTGCTCCTCAAGTAATATTCTTAGAGTTAATCAAATAACTTGAATCTTGCGATGAAATTCGTTCGTGATGGTCGAAATATAAATTAAATCAGTTTTGTATGTAATTAAATCTTCCACTTAATCTTTGTGTACGTTCAAGGTTGCACAACCAACTTTATGTTATAAATTGCAAGATAATACCTCAAAGCGAAGAGAAAAGCTTAAGACGATTCAACTAAAAACGGTAAATATTGCCTTTTAGTCATGTTTGTAGCACGCAATCGCGTTCACGTTGCTTTCGGCACGTTTGTTAATCAGAATGTAGAGTATCGGGGAGCATTCGTTCCACGCGAAACGAGATACGCCGTTTGAAAGAAACAAGCTTACAGGATTCGGCCATTTTGCAAGCAGAATGAACGCGCTCTCGTGGGAACGTCGACTAAAAATTGAAATCTGTGATTCTCCAATGTAAAGTACGTTTCGATGTATTTGATTATTGTTACAAAAAATGCGAAATCTTTGCAACTTATATGTATATATATATATATATACCACAAAATATAATCATTATCGAAACAATAATATATTCACTATAATAATTACACGACATTTTGCAATATTCATTTTTTCAAAATGACACGGTTTGCAATCTGCAACGGTATATTATGATATACAATATTTGAATGATTATAGGAAAATCAATCAATATTAATTTTTCTTAAATAAATCAAAAGTGATGTAGAATTCTTTGTTGAAGAAGATTTGAACTTTTAATAAATTTTGTATTTTATTATTTTTAAATCTATTAATTCTCTTTGAAATTTTAAACAAACTTCTTATTTTTTAATCCTAATTATGATCATCCAATGTGATGGTTCGAGAATTAATAATAAAAAAACAATAACAATTATAAAAAAAAAAATACCTATACTATTGCAGAGATATGAAACAAATGAAAGAAGAAAATAATCCAAAAAGATCTGAATGCTTAAATCGTGTTAAACTCGCAGAAATTCATGGCCGAAAACCGATAATTTTCTGTTCAGATACGAGATATTGGAGGTGATCGGGAAAGGAAGCTTCGGACAAGTGATCAGAGCGTTGGATCACAAGACAGGACAGTACATTGCCATCAAGATCATCAGGTAAGCGAACGGTTTGAACGAGTATCCCTCCACTGAATCACTTTAAATTACCATACAAACTCGCGTTTCGTGATCATGGCGTGATCAGCTTTTATCGTCGCGCATCCTCCGCTTCCTTTCATGCGTATCCGGCTTTCTTCGTTCGCTTTCAAACTATGATTAAGTCACGTTTGCATCAGGCGAACAAGAAGAAAAAGCCAATGTTGAACGTTATTCGAATAAATTTTTATTGCGCATCCTTGATGACAACTTGTAATGTAATGGATGTATACTTGATTAAATTTGTAACTAAATATGGTAAACGATCGTTTTTGCGTTTTGTTTGAGATATTTGAAAAATGAAATATTGTTTGTACGAATTTGCATTTAAATTGCATTTTACAACTTATTAATTATTTTTTAACTGCTTTGAAATTGATGGCGTATTATTCGATGC